CATCTTTGACCATCATGTTGTCCTCAGTTAACTGGGATTCAAATTCAAGTTGATTAGGAAAAAAACAAGACAAAGTTTTTTTGACTGAGTTTTGCTAGGTTTTAATCTCCTTGTTAATTTCATCAAACTCTTACTGGAAGATTCAAAATTAGAAGCAAAAATGTGCTTGGTTATTTTTTTTCTTAAGGTATTAGTAGAAATTTGGAATGCACACATCTCAAATGCCAGCCAATAAACTTTTTCCTATTTGTGACTTTTACTAATATTAAATAAATCTACCTTGTAAATTATGTTGAAGTCATCTATCTGGAACAAGCACTCTCTTTTCACCATATCTTGGCTTTCAAGGTGATTTTCAGATTTTATTGTTGTTTGTTTTGCAGGGTGTGTGTGTGGGGGGGGTTGCTTGGGAAGTACTTAACTTTTCTCTAGTCATATTATTAAACAAACTTTTGTAAATACACTTTACCTCCTGTTTTTGAGTTGCATTTATATTTTGCAGCATAGCCACCCTTGTGGAAGTTCTGATTTATCCATTTGAATTTTGCACTGACTATATTAGTAAGGAGCTCTGGTAGTGTAGTGGTTACGAATTGGGCTGTGAACCACAGGGTCAGCAGTTCGAAACTACCAGCTGCTCCACGGGAGAAAGATGATGCTTTCTGCTCCCTTAAAGATTCACAGCCTCGGAAACCCTGTTCAGGGTCGCTATGGGTCGGAACTGGCTCTACGGCACTTAACAACAACAACATATTAGAGGAGTACTGATGTGGTACTGTGGGTTAATGCGCCAGCTGCAAAGTTGTTTGAATTGCAAGGTCAGCAGTTCAAACTCACCAGCTGCTCCTTGGAAACCTTATACAGGGTCGCTATGGATCAAAGACGACTCGATAGCACTTAACAACATATTAGCTAGGCAGTTGGTTGGCCTGTGGCTGCACTTTATCGTAAACTAGATCTCAAATGCCTGTTGACTTTTCACAAAATGTGGAGTCTCTTAATGTATTGTGAAACCTGATGTATCCAAGAACGAACTAGACATTTGTTAGTTACTCTAATGACTAAACTTCTAATCTTAGTGTGTGTATGGTCATTCTCATCTTCTAGTATCTTTAAGAATAGGACACTTGCAATAAGGAAAATTTATTTTAAACCCACACATCCCTGGATTGATGGAATGTACATATTTGTCAGCATTTCTGGTCATACTAAACAGTAGCTGTGAGAGTTCTAGTGAGTGCAACTTTGAACTAGGTTTGAGGGTCTTGATGCCTCCATCAAAGAGGTGAATCAGTTTTTAGATAACTAGCATTTTCTTCCTATGTCCTCTTTGGATTGTAGCAATAAAAATAATTTTTGAAACACCTTTAAAAAAGAACAAATTTGATTCATTACACACTAATGACCAAAGACAAGAAGAGTTGTGGGATGATATCAAGAACATCATACAGGAAGAAAGCAAAAGGTCATTAACAAAACAAGAAAGAAGGTAAACACCAAAATGGATATAAGAAGAGACTCTGAAACTCGCTCTCCCATGCAGACATGCTATAGCAAATGGAAGAACTGAGGATGTAGAAGAGCTGAATAGAAAATTTCAAAGGGCAGCTCGAGACGACAGAGTCAAGTATTATAGTGAAGTGTGCAGAAACCTAGAGTTAGAAAACCCAAAGGAAAGAGCATGCTCAGCATTTCTCAAGTTGAATGAACTGAAGAAAAAATTCAAATCTTGACTTACAATGTTGAGGGATTTTATGGGCAAAATGTTGAACGATGCAGAAAGCATCAAAAGAAGATGGAAGTCACTGTACCAAAAAGAAATGGTCAATGTTCAATGATTTCAAGAAGTAGCATATGATCAAAAGCCAGTAGTACTAAAGTAAGAAGTCCGTGGTGCACTGAAGGCATTGGCAAAGAACAAGGCTCTGGGAATTGATGGAATGCAAATTGTAATCTTTCAATAAACTGAGGCATGCACTCATCTATGCCAGGAAATTTGGACAACTGATTGGAAAAGATCCATATTTGTACCCATTCCAAAGAGACATGACCCAACAGAATGCCAAAGTCATAGAAAAATATCATTGATATTACATGCAAATAAAATCTTGCTAACGATAATTCACAAATTGCTGCAACAGTACATGACAGGGAACTCCCAGGTTCAAGCCAGATTCACACAAGGATGAATGAGGACTATCATTGCTGACATCAGGTGGATCTTGGCTTTAAGCAGAGGATACCAGAAAGTTGTTTATCTGTGCTTTATTGACTGTGTGGATCATGACAAGCTATGGATAGCCTTGCAAAGAATAAGTATCTCAGAACACCTAATTGTGCTCTAAATAACCTGTACACAGATGAAGAGGCAGTCTTTTGAACAGAACAAGAGGACACTGAAAGATTTAAAATCAGGAAATGTGTGAGTCAGCACTGTATTTTTTCACCACACTTAGTCAATCTGTATGCCGAGCAAATGCTCCAAGAAGCTGGATTATATGAATAAGAACGTGCCATCAGAATTGGAGGATGACTCATTAAGAACCTGCTATATGCAGTACACCCTTGATTTCTGAAAGCAAAAAGGACTTAAAATTTTTACTGATAAAATTCAAAGCCTTTAGTATAGATTGCACTTCAGTGCAAAGAAAGCAAAGTCCTAACCAATAAATAGCATCATGATAAATGGAGAAAAGATTAAAGATGTCCGAGACTTCACTTTGCTTGGAACCATTTTCAACACTCATGGACAAGCAGTCAAGAAGTCCTGATGTATATAATTGGGCAAATCTGCTGCATAAGACCTCTTTAAATAGTTCAAGAGCAAAGATGTGAGTTGAAGGAATAAGGTGTGCCTACCGTGGGTTAATGTGCCAGACTGTAAAGCTGTTTGAACCGCAAGGTTGGTGGTTCAAGCTCACCAGCTGCTCCTCGGAAACCCTATACAGGGTCGCTATGGGTCAGAAACGACTTGATGGCACTTAACAACAACAACAACCCATGCCTTGGAGTCCTGGTGTGGCACTGTGGGTTAATGTGCCAGACTACAAAGCCATTTGAACTGCAAGATTGGCGGCCAGGCTCACCAGCTGCTCCTTGGAAACCCTATACAGGGTCGCTATGGGTTGGAACTGACTTAATGGCACTTAACAACAACAAACCCAAGCCTTGGTATTTTCAATAGCCTCATATGAATGTGAAAGTTGGATAATAAATAAGGAAGACCGAAGAAGAATTGATGCATTTGAGTTTTAGCATTGGAGAAGAATATTAAAAGTACCATGGACTGCTAGAACAATCACATCTATGTTAGAAAAGAAGTACAGCCAGAATGCCCTTTAGAAACCAGGATGTTAAGACATAGACTCTCATACTTCGGACATATTATCAGGAGGAACCAGTCCCTAGAGAATGACATCATGCTTAGTAAAGTGGAGGGTCAGAGAAAAAGACAGAGATCCCCAACAAGATGGATTGGCACAGTGACAGCAGCAATTTGGGTTCAAACATTCCAACAATTGTGAGGGTGGCACAGATCAGGCAGTGTTTAATTCTGTTGTGCATTGGGTCACTATGAGTCAGAACTGACTCGACGGCACCTAACAACAGCAGTAAAAAGTGGTGCACTACCTTCCCACACATATCCATGTATTTCACCAACTGGACTTGGAGATTCCATTTTCAGAGTCTTTACTGGGAAGTTACTATGTAGGCATGATTGATTGAGTCATGACCCCCACCTCTGAGGTCAACTCATAACATGAGTTAGGTCTTTCTGGTCTCACCCATACCTATTAGGTAAGTTGTGATCTAGATCCCTCATCAGACACTTCAATCACTGTTCTTAGAGGTTGTCTCTCAGAAGCCAAGAACACAGACCAAATTCTTGTTGTAAAGATAAATTTTTTACTCACTGGGAGTAAATTGGGACATAATTCAACGCAGTATAACAGCTTTCAGTCTTTGCTTCAGATGACTGGCCCTTACTCTTGTTAAATACTTTCTAAATATGTTCTTCTGCACTCAGAGATAAAAATTGAATCACAGACATCACTTACTGTTTGTCTAAGTCAGTATGTCTAAACTAGAGCTATACAAATTTGTATTTGGAACACAGTGGTCAATGGGGAAAAGCTGATTAGTGAGGATTAAAAGATGAAAGTGAATAAGGATCTAGACTCAAATACTTTGAAGCCACACACTTTGTTACTTTATTCTTCTGATACCTTACTCACTATGTAATGTAAGTGAAATTGATTTGCTTGTGTTTGAATCTCTTATCCCCCAACTATTAGACATTGATTTGGGCAAATTATTTAGCTCCTCTGTGGTTCAGTTTACTCATAAGTAAAATGTGGGGGAAGTACCAACAGAAAGACAGTGCTGTGATAATGTTGAATGAATTTAGAACAATTTCTGGCACCTCTAAATTATTATTTATCATGTAGTAAGTGTAATAAAAGTATTCATTGTATTATATATGTTTCTAGCATATGTTATGTCGAGTTGGTTATGACTCATAGCAACTCTGTATAGAGTTTTTGCTCTATGAAAGCAGAAAACCTCTTTATTCTCCATGGAACAGCTGGTAGATTCGAACAACAGAACCACAGCCCAATGCATAATATACAACACCACTAGGGCTTCTTTTTAGTATATATTGTTGTTGTTAAGTACCATTGAGTGCGTTCTGACTCGTAGCGACCCTGTATAGGGTTTCCAAGGAGCAGCTGATGGGTTTGAACCACCATCCTTGTGGTTGGAAGTTCATTGCTTCTCCTACAGAGCCATACCAGGATTCTATTTTGTATGTATAGCCTACATAAATATATGGTTTCATTTATCTGTATTGATTATAGTTATGTATAGCACTTTCAGTCTCTCGATGTTAATCAACTATGTCTAATTTCTTCTGCTGTTCTGTGCGTTAGCAGTTAGCTGTTCTGTGTGTCAATTTTATCTGTTGTTTTTTTTATGTTTTTTTTTTTTTTCCTTTTTAGTTGGGGATATTGGATTTGAAACTTCACAAAGGGAATTTCTGAAGTTTTGTTCCAGTTGGAGAGAACTAATCCACTCACAGAAGATAACTCATTGTATTCCATTTTAGAAGAATTGTGGCAACATGATGAATGGATAGGTAGATATGAGGAAAATCAAAACAGACATTTAAGTTATGTTGCCTTCATCAGTAGGAAAACATTATGTAATGAGAGGCACTATGAATATAAGGATATAAAAGATATGGTTCATTTAAATTCATACCTCGGTCCTTCACGAGAAATACTCCACAACTATGGCTTATTTGAAAAGAGTGTAAAGTCTACTGTAAACTTAAATAATCATAATAGAACCAATGCAACAGAAAATCTTGATAAGATTATCATAGATGGTGGCAATTTGACTCATGTGAATTCTCATACAGAAATTAATGTTTGTGAATGTAGTCAGCACAAGAAACTTGAGAGTCAAATGCAAGTTGTCATTCATAATCAGAAAATTTATACTGAGGAGAACCTCTGTTCTGACTACATAAAAGTTTCCACTTTGAAATTGCATGTTTTTGTCTATCAAAACTGAAGAAATTGCATGTTTTTGTCTATCAAAACTGAAGAAAAACATGAGTGTAGCAAATGTGAGATAATTGGCACTCAGCAGCCTCAACTTGGTATAATTCAGAGTGTTTATACGAGAGACAAACCCTACATAGACATTGAACATTGGAGGGAATTTTCCTTGAAGTCAAACCATCAGAAAACACATGCTGACAAGAATCACTATAAATGCAATGAATATATGGAAACTTTTACCCGTAAGTCTGATATGTTCAAATTTCAGAGTTTTAACCTTGGAGAAAAACCCTATAAATACAGCGAACATGGGGAAATTTCTCAGAATTCAGAACTCCATATACACAAAAACGTTTATATAGGAGAGAAACACTTTGAATGTACTGAATGTGGAAAAGCTTTCACAAGGAAATCAACACTAAGTATGCATCAAAAAGTTCATACAGTAGAAAAACCTTATGTATGTACTGAATGCGGGAAGGCCTTTACCCGGAAGTCATATTTTATTGCACATGAGAGAATTCATACTGGAGAGAAACCCTATGATTGCATTGACAGTAGGAAATCTTTTACTAAGAAATCTCAACTTCATGTGCATCAGCGAATTCACACAGGAGAAAATTCCTTTATGTGTTCAGAATGTGGGAAGGTCTTTACCCACAAAACAAATCTCATTATACATCAGAAAGTTCATACTGGGGAGAGACCCTATATATGTACAGAATGTGGGAAGGCCTTTACTAACAGGTCAAATCTCATTAAACACAAAAAAATCCATACAGAAGAAAAACCTTATAGATGCAGTGACTGTGGAAAATCATTCACCTGGAAATCACGGCTCAGGGTACATCAGAAATGTCATACTGGAGGGAGGCACTATGAGTGCAGTGAATGTGGGAAAGCCTTCATCCAGAAATCCACACTAAGTATGCATCAGAGAATTCATAAAGGAGAGAAACCCTATGTTTGTACTGAATGTGGGAAGACCTTCTTCCAGAGGTCACATTTTATTATACATGAGATAATTCATACTGGAGAGAAACCTTATGAATGTAGTAACTGTGGGAAATCCTTTCCTAAGAAATCACAATTCCACGTGCATCAACACATTCATACTAGAGAGAAATCCTATGTATGCAGTCAGTGTGGAAAGGGCACTGACAGATCAAATCTCTTTACACACCAGAAAATTCACACTCGAGAGAAACCCTATACATGTAGTGACTGTGGAAAAGCCTTCACTCGGAAGTCAGGTCTTCATATACATCAACAGTCTCATACTGGAGAAAGACATTATGAGTGCAGAGATTGTGGGAAAGCCTTTGCAAGAAAATCAACACTAATTATGCACCAGAGAATTCATACAGGAGAGAAATCCTATATTTGTACTGAATGTGGGAAGACCTTTATCCAGAAGTCACACTTAAATAGACATAGAAAAATCCATACTGGAGAGAAACCCTATGAGTGCAATGCCTGTGGAAAGTCTTCCATAAAAAAATCACAGCTCCCTACAACACCTCTACAAGAAAAAGACAAATAACCCAATTAAAAAGTGGGCACAGGACATGAACAGACACTTCACTTAGGAAGAGATCTGGGCAGCCAACAAATATATGAAGAAATGTTCACGATCACTAACCATTAGAGAGATGAAAATCAAAACAACAATGAGATATCATCTCACACCAACAATACCAGCAAAGAGCAAAAGTGTAGAGGACGATAAATTCTGGCGAGGATGTGGCGAGACTGGGTCACTCCTGCATTGCTGGTTGGACTGAAAAATGGTTCAACCTCTCTGGAAAGCAATTTGGCGTTTCCTCAGACGGTTGAAAATAGAAATACCTTATGATACAGCAATTCCTCTACTTGGTATTTACCCACAAGAAAAATGAGCCACAACACGAGAAGATATATGCACACCAATGTTCATAGCAGCACTATTTACAATAGCAAAAAGATGGAGACAGCCAAAGTGCCCATCAACTGAAGA